GCGCGGTCCGTACTTGAGGAATATCTGCCCTAGGTCTTGACAGTACACAGATCAATCGTAGTGAGGAAAGAGTTCAGAAAAAAAGAAAGTCGCTATTGTCCCAGGCAGTCCCGAGCAAGGTTGGTTAATAGGAAGTTCATTGAACGGTTAAAAAAGGCCATAAAAAGAATTGAACTCCATTAGTAGAATCGGCGAATCTCGGTTGTCTCTGTCGTCTTTTCGCTGATGGAAAACGATCGCTCGCACGTGCACGGTGCTTTTCAAATAGAAACATTTCTTGAGTATTGACTAAATTATGGCACATAAATGTGACTGTAATCCTTTAGAATGTCTACCAAGACAATTAGACTTAACTCGCTCCTGTGTCCTGTAAGCGATAGTCAACTTCGCTGATTCGTTGCGTATTCACTACTACTATTCACCAATAACTATCGTGATTTACTCTTGTCAGGCTGAGAACCTAGCTCTCTCCGCTAGCGTTGCCTCTAAGTTGTGAATAAGATTCGGAAAATCTATGGGTACTTAGCTACTTCAGCTCTTGTTATTTTGTGTCAGTTCGTAATAGGAATCGTAGCTAGAATCTCGCTCGGAGGTTACATCCGCTCGTTCGAATTCCTAGTTCACAATAAGACTCGGAAGATCTTCGAGCACCTCGGGTATTTCAGGTCGTGCTTTTTCCGAGTTCACAAAAAGTAGTCCGGCAGAAGATCTTCGGGTTTTCCATTCTATATCTGAGTTGACTCTAGGTTCTTCCGCTCTTTTCATTTTTGTGTTCACAGTAACAATCGAAAATTCTTTCATCTTCTTGGGTACGTTCGCCGTAAATCTTCTTATCTGACTTGAAAGGATGATTCTCTAGCTTATTTACTCTTCGTTTGACTTTCCACAGAAACTGCCCTGGTTATTACCCACAGCAAGCATATTAGCAGCGTGCGGTCAATACGTGTGTTATTTCATCGATGATGCTGTACAGCTTGACCTGGGAATACCGTGGCTGTCCATCCTTCTAAACATAGTTAGAGTCTTCAGCTTACTTCATGTGCTATACGGATATATATTGTTCCTTGTCATTATTCTGTTCGTCATGTATGTCACTGGTACCTCGATGAAGGAATTTAGAGGTAAATAAATACTAGTATCTTTTAGTGTTATAAAAAGCATGTTACTCTGGCCGCAGCGACTCCTCGCTGAGTCCTCTTTGAGTCTTCTTTCAATTGACACGAGAAAATATTACTGGCTGTTAAATTTCCGCCGTCTCCTCGAGTCGCTCAGCTGAAATATTGTTGCAAATTATAAGCAAGTTTTGAATTTTGCTGAATTTCCATCTCCTTCCAGGAATATTGTCTGACTGTTTTCTTCAGAATCCAAGTCTTTATACCCTCACTTAATCTCAAAAGTTGATTCCTAAATTTAACACGGCTTAAGGATGAAAGTTTCTTAATTATAGAATCGCACTTCTCCAACTCATTATGATTCAACGAGTTTAAAACTGCGATGAGATTAGGATATCTGATGTACCTGCCATTTAGATTTTGTGCTTTTATTTCTCCGTTTTCTCATTAGTTTTAGTTTCGAATAAGAGGATAGATCAACCCGCTCGAACATTGCTTCCCCATAATTCCAAACACCTCGAGTTTTCCAATGTCAGTGCTCCACTGTGCGGGAAATCATTCTGTTCACTGTGTTCTGAAATATGATAAAACACGGTCTCTCTTGCTTGCTATATTACTGCAATCATAATAGCCTTCCGGTATTTAAAGGCTTTTATTTATTTATTTATTTGTTTGTTTGTTTATTTATTTAATTATTTTTCTGTTTTCTTGTTTTCAGACGGAGTGGAAGGGGAATTTCGTGAACAGCATGTCAGACTGACGTTTCGTGAGGCAGTGCAGCTCTTTGAGCATAGATCACAGTTTATCAGAAGATCTTCAAATGCTTGCTTGGTAACGAAACATTTGTATTATCTTCTTTTCCCAGGGACAGGGGTGGGCAGAAAAATATGCTTTGCTGTAAAGAATTCACGGTGCTCAAGAAATATTTACTTTCACCTAACAACTGTTGCTGTTAGCATTATAATTTGGCATAGCCCAAAAATGTGTTTCCGTGATCCATTTTAAATTTCAGCGTCCCAGATTGAAGAAATACCGTGAATACTCTAGCTTCTTTTTGTTGACAATTATTTGGAACTACAGTGTTATTGTATACGTATTTATGAGAGATTCACAGGAACAGTGATTAAAACAGGCCAGGTTTTGATAAGCTCCGAATTCCTTCCCTTCGGGGATATATTCTCTCAAACATGACAACATGCACGTTACCCTACCACCCATCACGCCTTCCACTGAAGACTTAAAGTAAGTTTACTTGATACATTTTTTCGTTTTACCATTTCTAGTTCATGTTGTGCAACCTCGTTCTGACAACAGTGCTGTCCTTTGTCATCAACGGCTACAACTTTCTGTTTTTCAATCGACGGGCAATCTATCTTTGGTTCGCGCTAGTTCCCTCGATATGGAGCATATTACCGCTGATCCTAGCAGCGTGGGCTACAGAAAACTACCAGGCCTACGTCGCGTCGGTCGTGAGGTCCTGGGGAGAGCACCCCGAATCGGACGAAAGCGAGTCCGAGGAAGAAGACATGGATGAATATCAAGAAGCGATGAAGAAGCTGAAAGTCAACCGCTCTCGAAGCGTTTTGATAGCCAGTACGAACTTGTTAAAAACGCTCAAGCGAAAGAGACTAATTTTACGGCAGGACAGACGCATGTCACTCGCGGCAGTGAGGCGCGAATCGCAGACCAGTGAGCCTAGACCCTCTCTGGGGGACGATGCGGCATCAAATGGAATAAATCGAAATCTCTTGGGAGTTCAAAACCCGATGCGATTGGTCGATGTGGAGACCGGTGACGAAGACACCTTTTCAGAGTCACGGCTGCCTCCGACTTGCATTCTAAACCCAGGCTTCACGCCACTTTCAAGTGACCCACCGACCGCTAACAAACCTGGCAAGAAAAGCAAGTTTAATTTCAAGTCGTATGTTATGTACTTACAAGGCCTTATCAAGGAGGTGGGTTTCTCTGTAGGTGGAATGATCCTATCGTGGGAGAAGGTGTCTAGTATTGGTATATTATGGGTGTCGGTGCTTGCAATCTTCATCCAGGAGATCGTTTTTGGCAACAGAAAGAGCACGCTGCTTACATGACGCAGAATACGAACCGCTGTACATTGGTTGTAATTTCATCCCTCTATGCACGGAACGGTGAAGCAAGAGACTTCTAAAGACAGATCTATGTTAGCACTAGTCAAAGTTTACTGAAGAGAGCTCGAGTTAAATCCTCAGGTCTTTGCAGAAGTCTGAATGGGGCAACTTTCTCTTGCTTCATGTACAAGAGGAGTTTGGTTAAGCTGATTATAGAAAGCTAAGGAGTATCTTTCAATATTTTCTGACAGTGACTTGACGATGGCTTTAATTTTCGAGATGCACTTTGTGCCTTGTCTGAGGCAAAGAAGGGAAGAGCAACCAAGGGGACTATCACAAATAAATTCTTTTGAAGTACAACAAAAACTCCGCTATCTCAAGTACTAAATTAGTTTTGTTCTATAATCGAACCTCCGCTACCGAATGCGGGCATCTGCCGTAGGCGGACACTTAGTAATAGTCCCAGCCACATACATACACTGCATTTTTAACCTCCCATAAGTGGACACCTCTCGTAAGTGGACACTTTTTCTGGTCCCGAGGGTGCCCGCTTACGGGAGGCTTGACTGTAACTTTTTTTGACGGTAACTTGATCATGAGGTATCTTTTGGCCAAACGTTAACGAGGACCGCAGCTCCAAGAAGGATTATCAGAATCGATAAATAACTGACAAACTGTGGACGAAACCTTTTTCATAATCAATCTGCCTTTTCTTCAAAGTTAGTCATTGATTAAAAATATCGTTAAAATTAAGCCAACAAAACACACTGATTACACGTCATACTCGTGTTAACATCAGCCAGCGAAAAACGACTCGCAACTGACCGCCAAGAGCGCCTGTTACATGATCGAAATTTTATAATTAGATATAAAACATTTATTTATATAGTGTGTAAAAATCACGAAAAGCACCTCAGGTGGAGTAATTTAGATATTACATCACATTTTTTTATATAGTAATTTCGAAAAATAGCGATCACATTCTCAACCAGTCCCAGTTAACTTAGACGTTTCTAGTCAGTGTAAACGTTATTAAAACTAATTGTTAGCTAAGAGAGTATATCTTACGTTAGTCGACACTGACAGAAGTGCCAGTCATTGACCGATAACAGTCAACTCTCAGCATCTTTAAATTTCTTCTTTATACCCCACCTCGCTCCAAGGGCCTTTCTCCCTCTCGCCCCATTCCTCTCTCTCGCTCCTGGGGGCGGGAAGTAAAGAGGTCCTGGGAACGAGGCTGTTTTATACAGCGCTGGAGCGACATAAATCACGAGAGAAATTTTCCTTGGGGTGGGCTCAGTTTAGTTTTCTTTTCTCGGACTTAGAGTGTCAGCGTCTCTAAAAACTTTTGTTGAACAATTTGCTAGCATCGAAACGTCTTTACCGTTACATAAATGCTGTTTTTTATTTCTACAAAGTCAACATCAAACACATCATTCCCAAGTGCTTTGCGAGGTTGTGGCAGTATATTAAACCAAGTATATCAGTCTACTTATACATGCATGAAATAAATTGTCTATTTAGAAATAAACACAAGTTTCTTTAATTTGACTTTTGATGTTCATTTCCTTTGGGACTACACCACGTTATTTAGAGAGGCACGTGGATCCAGGAAAACACCAGCGGGGTGGGTGTGAATTTTGAAAATTTACATCGGTCTGGACTTGCATCTGATTATGTGATCAGCAGAATCCCTCTTGTACTTTATTCCTGCCAATCTCGAGTGTACAGTCTAAAATAAGGAGGTTTATGGACTGGACCCTTGATTCTGGACAGTGGAGGGCGCGTAGTAGAGAGAGTGCTTATCCGCGATACAATACTTTCCTATCCTTTCTTATACTTGACCAAACTAAAAAGTAACAGGCAGTCTCGTCTTCCGTAACTCATGGATAAAAATCTCTTCCGCTAAATAGTTCTCATCTCAAAACTAAATAAGAGAACTGGTGTCAGAAATGGAATACATACAAACAGCTTATGAGGTGGGGCCTAAATCACTTCGGTCACCATGTTAGAGGACAAAGCAATACTCTCCAGCCAGCGGCACTGATTTCCACACGATTTTTGAAAACTCGAAGCGTGGGGGAAAGATTGCTCGAGAGAAATGCTGTGAGGTCACTACGTGCCGAACGCGAACAACTGGACTAGAGAATACTTTGTGGCAGGTCGGTTCTCCTCATGAAAGGCCTACAAAGCTTGCAGTTCACCACCCGGATGCTCTGTCAGTGAGCGAAAGGAGAGTGTTGGAATTTCACATGCACTTTTGTATTTTTACTTAACCCTAGAGATGCGAAAAAGTTAAGCAAGTGTTTTACAGACATTAATCAGCCTTGTTCTCATACGTCTCTAACAGCTAAGTCCTATAGCAGGTAATTATTGTAAATTCACTGATCAACAATGACTCCTAGTGGACGAAGACACAAACATTATTTTCCCAAGTTAAACTTGTATTACGAGCCAGATGGTCAGCCGTTCTGTGCGTCCCTAGTTTATCTCAACTTCTTTCCCAGGATCTCTCTTCCAGGGGACGAAAAGACGAGATACTCTGGGACGAGATTGAGTTTCTCCGTGCACCATGCACATGTGCCAGACATAACAAACAAAAGAGCAAAACCGGACTCGCACAGCGACCGGGCATAGATCCTGCAGCTTCCATTACAGACCAAGTGAACATTTCTTAACCATGACGCTTACAATTAATAACACCAGATTTTTTATTAACCTTGCTTCATCCAAAATCTAAAACATATTTTACAACCCTATGTACAGATCCAATAATAAATAAAATTGTTATATAGCTGGAGTTTAGTTCTGATTCTGGTCACGAACCAGAGGTTTCTTTGACTTCTCCTTGCCTTACTACTTCACACTAAACTCCAACCAGATAACAACACACTTAATTACTGGTCCCTTGGAAAACAGTTAGTTTTGTTTTCCCTCGAATCTCGATATTTCTCTCGATTTCGTCTCGGAAAGCATCGAGATTCTCGGGAAAACATAACTGTTTCCCAAGAGACCAGTAATAAAGGGTATATTGAAAAATTCCTTAACTAGTACAGTTACAATATGACAATACTATCAAGCCATAAGCTATGTTACGTTAGTACTTATTTTTATGTGGCTTGGTAATAGTTTTAAGGGACTGACATGTTAAATTAGTCTCTAGCTATTTAATGAAACCTAGATAAAATAATTTAGTAACGCAGAAAAAAAGAAAAAAAGAAAAAAAAAAAAAGATATGCCAAAAGGAGACTTGGGGCAAAATTGAAAAACAAAGCTAACTCTTTTTAAGGGATGTCATCTTATTTCATATCATTCTTTTCAACGCACAGAATTTTCTTCGAATCGAGGGAACATTGACCAAGATAATAATTTATTTCGGTAGAAAGGAATGCCACAAGATGTCATCATAAACATGGGATTAACGAACAAGGAAGGTTTAAATTGGAACCCGACCATTTAAACAGTTTACGAAAAATCCTTTCTTTGAATATGATTTAAAAATTGTTTTCAAAGTGTGCTATTCACAGCATTCATTATGATATGCAAAGTTGACATACGTAACAACAATGCAGTTTTCTCGACTAGGTGAGCATTCTTCGCATTAGTTACGTAATAGCTCTTCAATAAATACCGAGACGACTTGTTCACTCCATTCGTGCTCGGTATTCCACCCGGTTTTCCAGCAGAGCGCGGATCAGGGAACAGCCCACCCTCCCACCCTCATCGCAAGGGTCGTGCCGCTAGACCTCCCCCCCTTAATTTGTTTCATCAAGAGTTTACCAAATGGTTTTTAATAAACAGTTATTTTAAAGTTTCATTCAATTTACTCTTGATAATAACAAGTCTGTGAGTGTATGCATGTATCAAAATGAAAGAGGACCGGAGAGGTGATGATAAAACCCGGTCTACATATAACCGTATTCAAACATGTGAAAATTTTACATTAATGCAAAATGTGTACACAACATCAAATTAACAACAAACAAACATACAAAGCACTCACCGCCACAAAGCGATAAAAACAAATACGAAAAAAAAAAACACCTCCATCTCCCCACCCCAACCTTTCTTTAATTCATCTTCTTAGAGAAGTGGGTGGAGGGGGCACTGAAAACACTAGCATTTCCTTCCCTCTCTCTCACCCCTCCCTACCCTAATGGGTTGTCATCC